AACTCATCCTTCATTTTCCCAAGAACTTTTTTATTAGAAGCATTATAACATTCATGATTTTTAGGATAATCTGAAAAATCCATATGTTGATTTATAAGCTTAAAATCTGTGTAAATATCATCAGTTTCAACATGGATAATAAAACTATCAGTGTCAGTATATGCTAATTTTATTTTATCGTTATATTTAGGTTTTAATACATCATAATAAAAAGAATACATATGAATTTTAGAATAATCTAAAATTGATAGACCCATATAAATAGGTTTATCTAATTCTACCATTGCCTTTTCAAGTTCTACCACCACTAAATCTTCATTTATAATGTGTCTATGTTTGTATGATGGTTTATTTACTAATTTCTGGAAGCGTTCAGGTGTATTGATTAGTCTGAAGTCATTGTGATTACGAACGTTTTCGAGTGTTTTTCCATATACAGCGTTATTTAATAATTTGAATAAATCTTTTTCAAATTCAGTTTTAGCATTCTTTCGTTTTTCGGTGTTGAAATCAATGTATGGTTTTAAAAATCTGCTTGATTAAAACTAATTACCCTATGGACTTTCTTTAGTTTTAATCCATGCTCTAAATAAAACTTCAATGCTGATATATGTAATACATACTTTTTCTTATCCATAACATTTAATATTAGTTTATTTGTTTTTTCATCAGATGCATCTTTTCCATAATATTTTTTATGTATTTCTTTTTGAACTGGTGAAAGCATATTCTCACTAACACTCATAATTTCTGGTGCTAATGGATAATCTCTATGTAAATCATGTAATTCTTTTGGATATTCTAAATCAACTTCTAAAATATAGCCTTTGTCATCATCATCGCTATAACTTAATACTTTCTTCTCATCCATCCTTGAAAAATACCAATTGAAATTATCAAACGGTAGTTTTTTACTCATAGCCAGACCATACAAGTTATTAGCATCTAAATAACTTATATAACTTGATGGTTTTGACAAGTCATATTGTTCATTCATGTATTTATTATTTGCTTCTACTTTTTTATGAGCACATTGAGTCATCCCGCCACGAAGACCTTTTTCAATCATTTCATACATATCTTTATTATGTATTTGTTGAAGTCTAACACCAGTCAGAGATAAGAAGGCAGACCACGAATAATTAGGTAATGTTATGTAATGAGCAGGGTCTAAACCATAATAATTTAAGCACATATCCCTAAAGTTTTCAAAAACATCACTAAGCAAATAAACATCTGTCATCAAATATAAATCATGGTATTCACCTAGGTTTTTGATATTGAAATTATTCCATATTACTTTTGCCCTTGTGTGTTGTGTATCTGTTATGTCTTCTTCATATAATTGACTGTAAAAGTCTTCTATACTTGGTAATTGCGATTCATTGAATTTATCAAATGAATTCATGTAGTCGTAAGGATAAACTCCTTTTTCAGTTAATAAGTCTAAATCGGTTTTATTTCTAATATATGGATTTGCTGATGAAAATCGGAAATTATCCTCCCAGTCATTCCGCTTTTTATATATAGGTTTATCATGTTCATCCTGACCTACTATGTCATATTTATTTAACTTAACTAATTTATCCAAAGATGCTGAGAGAAAAGCCATGCTATCTTTAAACTGTAATGAACCAAATGAAAATGTAATAAACTTTTCGCTATTTTGTGCTATTACATCTATTCTCTTATTTTCGTTCAATTCCTTATTTATTTCATTTGCTTTGCCTATTATTAAGTGAGAGTCATAGTTTTTTAAATTATGAAAAAATACTGGTATCTTGAAATATCTAAATGAATAATCCAAATTACATTTTTCGTGAGCACAACCTCTATAAATACCGGTAAAATGACAGTGGTCTCTGACTTTTGTATCTTCTGGTTTAAGATTCTTATTACATATTGAACATACAGTAGCTTTTCTAAATTCTGCTTCTTGTTCATCTGTAATATCCATTGGTTTATTAACATTCATTTTATCAAAAATATCTTTTTTAATTTCTCTTAATTTATTTACAAAGTGGTCTAAACAATCCTCTCCACGGTATAAAAAAGGTTGACTTGTATTATCAATAGAATTTACAACATTCAACATATAACCGCATGGTTTATGTTCCTGATACGTGCCCTTGATGCCATTATTTGAATTTACAGTTATACACTCAAAATCTCCATAAACAACAAATGGACATTTTAATTTTGTATTGTATTTTTCAAATTCAATATAACTACCTTCTTTTGGTAATTTAAACTGTTGTCCATGTGTTGCCATACAACCAGTTTCATAATGTTTTGTTAATAAATCCTTTCTAGTAAAGGCATGAGAACAATAATGACAATAATGTTTTGGTTGGTCATTTTTGTTTGTTTGCCAGTTCATTAAACGACTTAGACTTTTAATAACTACATAATGATTATTATTATTGATTTCAATTTTCAAAAGGTTTATTTGATGTTTAGCATCTCTTGTTTTAGTTCTGTAATCAATTATAATTTTCTTTTCATTCAAAGTATCATCAATTTCATAAACATTGATTGAAACTAACATACTATTATTTTCTTCAAACCTTTCAATATCTTTATTACCAGTTGGAAATTTAACACCTTCCCAGTTTAAGATATTGTCATTTAATTTGTTGTAATGGAACATTTCTTGGGAATTTGATTTATTAATTATATCAAACACTACACTTTGAACACTATATTTAAAACATTTGTTATCTGTGTTTTTGATATTAATACATGCCTTTTTTAGTTTAATCCATTCTGGTAAATCTATATAACTACCCGCCCTAGTTGGGTCATATTTGTCATAATGGATTGTTATTGATAATATTTTTATAAATTGTAAATTAGATGCTGAACCTTCTAACTTTTCTATGTTCAATAAAATCTCTTTGATTGATTTTTCAATTGCTTTATCCAAATCGGTTTCATTATATATGTTTGCCCTTGTTGCAGGTAAATTATAAAGTATCTCTGTATGTTTTATTACTCCATCATCATCATAATAATGATAAAATAAACCTTCTGCCCTTATATTCAGTTTCATTGCTCTATTAGTTTTCAAAAAGGTCAAAAGTCTATCTTTTTGGTGGTGTATCATTGATAGTGCCTTTTCACCTTGAAAATGTTTATTTACTAGTTTTATAGAATTAGCATAACTTTTGAAAGCTGATTGTTGGTCTGTTATTCTGAATTTGTTTTTGATTGCATATTTTGTCATTGCATTTTTCATTCTTTGTTTTAGGTATGTTGAGCGCAATGTTTTTGTTGCATAACTATTATACTCATTAGTTCTTGCTTCTGATTTTAATTTCTTGTTCAAAACATTTGAGATGGGTTTTTCTTTGTTGTATCTAAATTTTCTACCATCTATAATTATTGATTTTAATTCCTTGTTTCCTCTTTTTGGAATTTCCGCTTTATCATTATTCAACAGATAATCTATAACATGTTTCATAATACTATACTATATAAATTTAATGTGTTTATTTCTTTAAGTGGCTTTTTAGAAAATATACTTAAAGATTTAAAACCTTAATATAATAAGAGGAAAATGAACGGTGCTAAAATCAATAATTATATCAATAAAAAATGCTATGATTGTTGTCATTTCAAAAAAGAAAATATGGAATTGTATAAATTAAATTTACCTAATGAAATAGTGAATAATATTATTAATTATTCAATGGATGAAAAAGTCGAATGTGAAAATTGCCAGGAATGGAGAGATAATCATTTTTTAATCAAATGTCTGTTGAGAATAAAAGGAAGACATAATAGAAATGTAGAAGATGAGATTTTAATATTTCTAACTGTAAATAAAATACCACCTTACGATTATATTAAACAGTTTCTTAAAATCAGTAAGAAAAAATATGACATGATTTATGATATATTATGGATGTTGGGCTATAGTCAAGAGAAAGGGGAAGATGTTAAAGAAAATATCAAATTATTTATTGAAAGTAAAAAGTTTAATATTCAAAATACATTGAGAGATATTAATATTATTTTTACAATGATGTATGAAAGAAGTAAGACAAATCAATTAAATTATTATCCTGTACTGAAATTATAATCATACTATAATAATAACATGTAAAATCTTATATGTTATAATTATACTGTACTTATGGTTTGTAAAGATTGAAATATTTTAATTTTTCTTGATTTGGCTGACTCTTTCAAAGTGCGTTGTTTGAACTTGGCATGCTCTTTTGATTTTTTCGTGCTTTGGCTGTTTGTTTTTTATTTTGTTTGATACTCTTCTGATATTTTTTGATGGTATGTTGCTTTGTTTTTGATTTTGTGTGTTTTTGAGATTGGGTTCTTTGATGGTTTTTATTTTTGCTGTTTTGTTGGTATGCTTGTTTGAATTACTTAATGTTGTATGCTTTGATTAAATATTTTGTTGGGGGTTGTTCTGGTTTTTGAGTTGCTTGGTGGTGTTCTTACACCCCATTTGAACAGAACAGTCGCCAATTTGGGTGGTGGACCCAATTTGGTTTTGTGTTAGAAGTGCCATTTTATGTATTTTTGGGGGGGGGGGGGGGGTATGTCAAATGTGCGGTGGGGATCAAGATTGGAAGAAACTGCCGGGAATGACAGTAGATGCTCCCGTCGGGTCTTCATGTTTCGGCAAAATCACGCGTGATTGTCTTCAAGCGTGTCGCATGGTTCCAAGGAGCGCCAGCATCTTGCTCGTGATGCATCAGGAGTGTATACTGCATGCTTGGGTTGTGGGATGGGCTTGGTTGAGTCAGCTTGCACATGATGTGGATGCAGAGTTCAACTGACCACCTGGAGAAAACTTCAAAGTCAGTCGTGTTACAACAACTGCAATGGTGATACTCTAAGTATGCCCGGACTGCAAAAGACACAAATGAATTACAAGCAAAAGCAGTTACATCTAGAATCTAGGCGACCCTATCTTGCAAACCCCTGCTTGTATGTGTGTGTGTGTGCAAGATGGCAACACCCCAAAGCGCCCAGTCCTTCACGTCCGCGAAGTTGTTCATGCCTGAGCCGTGGGTGCGAAAAGAAGCAGGCAAGTCACCCTCACCTCTCATGCTCGGTGAACTGCGACCACCGAAAAAACAAGCGGCACTGGGACTTTCCGTGGCACGGCCAATGTCCCTTGCCCTTGCGACCCGTCATCGCCTAGTTGGGCCCCGGGCAAGGATGGCGTCATAGCCAGCAGCACAAGGCCTGGCATCTACAGACCCTGGTGCATGGAAACAAGCTGGCAAACAACAAAGGCGCCATGTAAAAAGACAAGCAAGAAGAGAGCTTGCATGGATGCATGCCATGCTATGCCATGCATGCATGAATGGATGGATGTAGATCTGCCAGGGAGACAATTGAAAATGCATCATGAATCCCGACCCAATGAAATCCCTGAGCACTGTGGGGCCAGGCTCTGTGACAGCTGCGTGGTCTGGCGCGCCAACTGCCACACCTCAGCCACAAACGTCTGCAATGAAGCTTTGACAACACAGTACGTGGGTCCAGCTTGGTTGGCGGAATGGACACTTCTATGAGCAAACCCCTTCTCGCCCTGCAGACAACACAACTCCGTGACTTTGTCGCAAATGATCCTGGTGGTTTTCTGCGGCGAGCCGCCGGCAAAGCTAGAAATGTCAAAGCGGAGTTGACCGAATCTGATGGCCCGTCGCAAGAAAGAGCCTTGGCTTTTAAAGCGAAGCGGTTTGAAGCAAGTGCCAGGACTAAGGAGTCATGAAGCACATCTTGTGGCTGAATCGAAGTTCCTCAATGCAAGTCGTGTTGCCTGAGCTGGGGGGTGGTCTATATGGGCCCAAACCCTTCAAGGATGTACAATCAATCTCTTGGCCGAAATGGGGTCCTCATTTCCTCCCAGATTGATCCAGGGTTTCCTTGTCCTCCTGTATGCCCGCATGCCCGCACCAGCTCACTGGGCCAGCCCCGCCGCTCTCGCGCCACCACGCTTGGCAGCGTCACGCACGCGGAAGGCCTGGGTCATGGGGCACAGCTGACAGGCCTCCCCGCTGCAACCGAAAGGAACAGCATCTGGCGTGCCAATGTGGTTGTTACCACTTTCTGGGATGTCAAATAACCTTCCTGGTCTTGTTTGAGGGTGTACGCTTGCTTTAGCGCATGTTGTACTGCTGGGTGCTGGTAGCCTGCTATCGTCAGCGGGTTCATGACAGGGTGAAGACGAGCCCGCCCTTCCCTACAGCCATGTTGTGGAAGCACGATTTGGAATCGCCATGAAACCATGGCAACAAGACATGGAATGCCCAAAGAGATGCCATTCATCTAGGCTAGTTGGAAGGGCCCAAAAGCTACACGTGGTGCAAGTCAATGGGATGTGAGGATGCACTCAATCTCGTATCTCAACAAACACAGGCATGCTGAACACGTCCCCAACGCCCCACCAGCGAGCTGAGCGCTGCGCGTGGCGCTGCAGCAAGGAGTCCACTCCGATGCCGGGGACCTGAGCGTGAACCTCTCTCTGGATGTGGCCCCGGGCTGAAGGCTGTGGGTCAAAAAGTGCCCAAACTGGAACCCTGGTAAATGGAAAAGTAGACTAATACCTGCGGTCCCCTGGTGGTTTAATTTTGACCCGTACCCATGAAAAGCTTGCCTGCAAAATCGGGCTGTTCGTCTGGTGCGTCAAGCAAGTGGACTGGGGGTTGGTGACGAACCCTGCGTGGCCGCAAATGCAACAACAATGCTGGACATTGAATTCGCGGAAGGACCACGTACAGGTCTCCAATGAACCATGGCAGGCAGACTGGGAGAACCATAAGCCCCATGGGGTGTAATTAATTGGGCAATGCAATCGCCGCATCACATGTTTCGGCGTGTTCTGAGTGACCCAGCCCAGAGGTTGTCTGCCTGGCAGCCACACAAATTCAGAATGAGACATGTTGCATGTCTCATGTCATGAGCCGAATTGCTTCGACAAGGGCTCATCCAAGACTTGTCGTGAGCCTTTTCAAGCATGCATCTCAAAGAGTTGATGAGTAGACCCTTGTTCATCCCACACCCTACAACTACTTACAATCAAAGCGAGCCACCTCCCACCTGCGAACGCCGCAGTGGTAGGGACACCTCAAACGCTCAGGCAAGACCAAAGCCAGCCCTTGCGCCACCAAATGCAAACAATGAGGTAGGATTGGGTAATCAAAGCAAAGAGGACTCGGGACGCAAACCTGCTGACACATGTGCATGTGGGGGCACCAAAAGTGCTGGGGCCTGTGGTTTAGGTAGAAGAAAAGGGCTCGAACCTGCACGCAAATGCCCCTGGTCTATTGAAGGCATCCTGGAATTCTCAGCTGGGGCGTGTCGAGCTCCCTGCCACAAGCCTTCCCTCTCGATGTGAAGCAAACATGGTGGCCCTATGCCCAAAACAGGGACCACGGCCATCGGTACATCTTCGCCCCCACCAGCAAGTGGGGAGACATGCAGGCTGACGCCCAAAATGTTCCGGGTGAGGCAGGGCGCACCTATGTTCATCAGAAATCCGCCATGCAACGCATGGAACTCCACGGCCAGCCCTCAAGACAAAGCACGCCGCCTTTTCATCTCAAAAAGACTCGCGCTGCGCCCTTCGTCCTATGTGCTCAGACCTCACCAGGGCCGGGAGCCGGGGCCTCGATGACCTCCCAAAGCGCAAAGCCGTTAGTGTTCACCTGACCAAGGCCGAGTCAGACCTCCCTCACACTGACAGAGAAAGAAGAACCCAGCGGGAAATGTACTAAACACAGCTCACAGTAGGAGTAGGAGAGCATCCCCCACAATATGAACAAGACGCCCACGACCCGCACACAGGTCATACTGCGCTCAAACAATATTGATAATATGCAAGTCGTTCATGTCTGCGTGCAAGCGGCGTTGGAGAAGTTCACTCGGTCGAACTTCACGGTCACCGGGTACCTCGGGATGTCCACTTCAAAGCCACCAACATTGGACCCCATTGATAAGACTGACAGACGCCACTCAAACCTCTACCTGACATGGAAACTCTTTCGTGCAAGGCCTCGAAGGAAGCATCTACCCAACTGAGGCGCTTGATCTCAGGCTTCTGGTTGACGTTCACCACCTGGCCCCTGGTCTGATACCAGTAGGACTCCGGCCGCAAGACCTTCACCCAAGAGCCTTTCTTGGGTCCCACCCATGGCGCCTCAGTTGCACGAGCGGCCATGGCTCACCTCCCCTAAGCCCTCTGTAAACTTGCCGTAGCTTCTCTTCCGTTTGCCCCTTGGAACACCACACATTGAACCACAGCGACTTTCTTGACCTTCCCTAAAAACACCTTGGAGTATGAAAACCTATTGCTGACCATTGATCCATGGCCCATCTTGTTTACCCCGACAAAACGCAAGTCTGGCCCTGCCTTTGCCTTCTTCTTGGCCGCAGCTTCCGCCCCGAGCGCCGTCTGGCCCTCACGCATGGTGCGGCTGGGCGACGCGCCGCCCACGAAGCCAGTGCTCAGCAAGCCGAGCAAAGCAGCAGCCACCAGCAGCAGGCCGCGCATTCGGACGGCCATGGCTCCCAAAGCCCGAGTGGAACCAAAGGGGAAGCGGTGAACCAACGGAAGCGCGCGGCTGAGCCGAATTGGCCGCGGAGCATCCTGGGGATGGGCATTGCACACGGCCCTTGCTGTCACATCCGCTGTCTGAGCAAAACTTCCGGGGAAGACACCTCAATAAAACACACATTGAATCTGAGACACGGCCAGTTCTCTCAAAGGGCACCGTTTGGAAGACGCTCAGGGTGGGGGGGGAGGGGGGGATTTCGCTCACCTTGATCGCCCGCTGTGGCGCCCACCACGTCGCAATGGCGCGGGGGCTGCTTCAGCTCGATCTCGCACGGCGCCCAAACGGCCCCACCTTGATGGTTCTCACTAGGGAATCGAAGGGGTGTTTGGGAATGGACCCTTCGGGATCCCTTAACGCTTTAAGGGAAGCCACAAGGGATACTTCACAGGGCGGGGAAGAAGTCATTCTCTCCGCCCCTACTGAGAACCGGCAAGAAGAACATTGGCGCAAGGATAAACAGCAACCATCCAAAGACCGCACATGTTTACGTTAAAAGAGAGCATGATTTTCAAGCTGCCCTATGAGAACTAGTGTTGCGGCACACTCCTCTCTTCACCTGTAAGAAAAATGGCCAACAATGAACAAAACTATACTATTATACAACTTGCTGGCTCCGCCTCTCAGCCGAAATCGTGAAATACTGCTTCAGCCGGTGAATAAAAGCATGAAGCACCAAGACGAAACAACCAGGCTCGGCAAGTCTGGCAAGCAGGGCGCGGAATCTTTGCAGCCAATCCGAACAAATCGAGGACGGCATCGGGCATCGCGCGTTGGAAAGCCACAAGCGTCCAATTAAGTCCCTTCACAGAAGTAATGTTGAAGCCCCAACCCCCCCCCCCACACACAAAATGTTCCCTTTTTTTGGTGGCCCAGATTCAAGACCCCCAACAGACCGCCAGGCAAGATTGCGAGCTCCGGCAGCAATCGCAGCTGGCGTATCTCTGCTGGGCCACCCTACCCACAACCTCTCCCACCCAGGCCTCAGCTAGCAGGGCTGCATCTTTGGGCTGGGATGGGGGTGGGCAGGCCCTAGGCAGCGATTTTTTTTCTAGCGTGGGCATAGACCTTGCAATTAGCCCCCAACCTTGCCAAACTGACATTGGTGGTTTTACTAGATGTAGTGACTCATGCCCAAGCCCCTTGAAAAACATCAGTTTGACGGCCCAACTGCACTGTTCTCGAATCACATTGGGTCGCGCTGGCCTGTGCAATGGTGCAAGATCAGGATGCAAGAGTTCGTACTGCCAGGAGTGATAGGCCAAACTCTTCGCTCCGAACCGAAAAGGTCTTGAGTCCAAGCCAGGGACAGAGAACACTTTTGTAAATGAAAGGGCAGGCACTACGTTGGCCAAAGTCTGCGTCATTACCTTTGGAATGTGCTGCGACCATGGGTGGTGCATTGGATCCAGGGACCATGTCGAACATCCGCCCAAAATCGATCTAGGGGCCAGCCGCAAAAATGAGATCAGGCTATTCCTTTGCCCTTCTCGGACTCCCTATGAGACATGCCTGCCCTTCCAAGGGTCCTGGAACCTGGTGGCTCAATGCAACCGAGCCCCGATGGGCAAATCTTTGGGACTCCCGGCTCCACCTGCAGCGGCTCATCCCACGCCTTCATTTGTCTTTGCACGATGTTCGCCTCTGATGTTTAAAAAAAGACACGGGACAACACGTCAGCTGCCTGGACACTTTTGAGCATGAGCGCACATGTGAATGTATGCCTCGGCAAGTTCAGAGCGAGACTGGGCAAATTCCTGTTTTAACTTTACGTCAGCCGCATGTCTTCCCGGCCGCCGGAAGCCTTCCCTCATTCCTTCACTGCTTTCTTGTCTCTTTGAGCTCATCCGTACGCGCATTTATACCATGGTCTAAACACCTCATTTGGGCCAGCAGCCTCTCAAGAAATTCTGTTTTTGCTATGGATGACTCATCGGAGTTCCTTAAGGCGCTACAGGCGCAGAGCGCGGTGACCTGCTCGACCCTGGACCTCCGCCCAGCACGCAGGTAAGTTTGGATTGACTGGAAAAGCAACGGACATCAAGCGCCCATCAAACAACACCTCTGAGCAGGAGAAATGAAAGGCCATTGGCAGCTAATACCATCAACAAGCAATTTGGCAAGCTGACGCTGACAGGCCAGGACAGCAGCGCGATGGCCAGCATTTTTTCTCGGCTCGGAGCAGCAAAATGACGACTGGAGCAATGCCTGAAACATGGCCTGAACTCTCAGCGCAGCACACAACCACGGTCGCTGGCAAATACCTCCCTCTACGTTGCACTTCTGTGCAAGGCCTGGCGAGCGCAACGCACGCCAAGCAGCTTGTGGCACGCTGGCGGCACGCTAGAAGCACGCCAGCAGCATGCCAGAAAAGCAGTTGCCCCGGAGGGCTTGCTGCTGCTGGCCAGTGCCAGCCTTGACGAGCAAGTCTCCAGTCGGAGGCACATCCGCTGTCACACTGAGAAGAACAAATACTACACTTGGTCAAGCCGAAAAAGGCCGAGAAGGTGTGACTCCTCCACACGATGCAGCAAATTCAATTCTCCGCCTGCGGCCCACTCCCCAATTTTCCAGAAACCCACAACGCGATCACAGAAGCCTCTCTCTTCACTCAAAGGTCTTGCCAGGCAATCACGAAAGAAATTGCACAAAGCCATATTTTTTGCAACGAAATCACAGCCCAAAAGCCGACAGCGCTTCCCAGCCAGTCCCCTACCTAGGTCAGCACTAGGCTTTCTAGGCGGAGTCTTCTCCGCTTAACTTCGCAGGTCGAAAGAGGCCCGGTGCATTCGGAGAGATATGGCCGTCGGCAAGGAACTTTCATCACCACTTCCACTCACTTGCTCTTGGCCACTTCCAGCCACCATGACACATCACACATTCATGCATTTTCGCTTGCACACAATCACCGAAAGTGGAAGAAAAGGTGCAAGTGAAAGCAAATTGAAAGAACACGCACAGTGGAAGGCACCTCTAATAGCAAGACCCATCCGTGAATTGGGGGTTGACACTCACGCAGGCTACGCAAGTTAAACGCCAATGGTGAGCTACGCAACAAGTGTGGGGCGCCCATTTGAACTTCGAAGCACAGAGGGCCACACATGCAACTGATCGGCAGCCAGGCATCCTATACAGGCATCGAGCGGTCTGCAAACTGCAAATGAAACAGTGAAGGAAAAATAGACAAGCCCAAGAAGAAACCAACCATTGGGAGCCGTCCAACCTTGACCCAAACACTGGGCATGTAGAGGACCCGCTACATTCTGCTGGGTTCCTCTCTGGCAGAAGAATTCGGCCATCGCTCGCCGCTCTGCGAGCTGTCGCGGCCTCGTAGCGCTCTGACCAGTCAGTGATGTTCCGCCCTGACGAGCAGATCGGTACATCTGCTCAAATGCGGCATCCGCCTGGTTGATGGCTATCCCCAACCCGTTGCCAGCGCATGATGGTCCCATCATGTGCGCGAAAGCCAAGACATCTGACAGCCTGAATTGACTTCTCGGATTGGTCGGCATGGCTCCGATCAAAGCCTCCTGGCTCCCAAACGGGAGCTGTGACCTGGACCCCTATACACAAACATGACACACACACACACACAATATGACTGAAAATGGACTATAGGTTCATCTGGGGATGCTTCAGATTTTGCAGTGGATCGTCGAACAGTTGGCAGGCGCCTGCTTTTTGCCTAGGAACCTCGTCCCACCCAAACAAAGCCCAAACCCAACGGAACCCCTTTCGCAACCCCTGACTCCCATCTGCTCCTGGCCTTGCTCACGCTCCTGCCGCAGGGCGCCAGCTGGCAGCTACGGGGAACAACTTGCAGGGTTTCCCGGGAAAAGGTTGCGCAGGTGAAGCTTTTTGCCAAAGAAAGCGCCAAAATCCTAGGAACCCTCCTGCACTGCAACCCGTTGTGAGAAAAAGAAAAAAGTTCTGTAATTGATGCGCACGAACAGCGTAGCTGAAGAAAACAAACATGCAACGAGCACGAGGAAACGAAGCTGAAACCTTAGCTGCCGAGATTGTTTGCAAGCTGTCCTCGGCCAGAATCTGCAGGGCAAGCCTGGAGGGCTAAGAAAGAGCACGCTGGTATCATAAAGTTCTGCTCAAATGAAACCTTTGATGCGCAGGAAATTGTTGACTGGATGCACAACATACTAAGTCTGCAAGCTCCTGATTCTATCATCTGAGTTGTGCTAGAATTATCAGTCAGTGACGAAGGACGGGATGCCCCTGCACGGCGCCTGTTGGCAACCCCACGACTTTAAGGAGGCTCACGGGGATGCAAGCAAGCTTGCGCCCATCTTCCAAGGCGGCAAACGGAATGCGCTTTAAGATCTCGCGTGCCCCATCTGAAGTCCGTCCCGCAGTCGTCATGCTTTGGACGCTGCGCAGGGTTGGTGGAGATGATGGTGACGTGCAAGGAAGCAAGGAACATCTTGTGATCTGGTGGGTCACGACCTCAGATTCAGCAAACTTCAGAATCACGCCCAAAAGTGCGACAATCCTGCATTGTTTATCGAGAAATGAAGTTGATGAACCACGCAAATTATCTTGTGGGCAATGCTGCAGAGGACTCGTGAATCCGATTAGAACCTCAATATCCTGCTTCAGGAGGCCCAATGGAGAGAATGGAAAGAGATGCTACCCCTCCTCATTCTTAAACAGGCAGCGAGCGGGGTTCATGCTGAAGATTTCTTTAGACGAAACACTGAAGTTAAGCAGCTCTTTGAAGTTAAAACTCCAGCGCAATCCTGAAAGTTCCTGTCTATGCAAATTCGGATCAAACCAATTGTATTTTGAATTTTGAAAAGGAGTTCCTATTCCAACAGCTTGTTCACTACACGTGTACCACGCGAAGTAAATTTTAGCAGCTTCAAAGTGCCAGTAGCAGCTCTGATATCTGCTGCTTAGCCTTGTCGTGCTGCAGGGAAAATCAGCAACCCATCAATGCGGGGTGAAAGGAACCCATTCCTATCCAAATTGCAATTCCAATCCAACTCACATTTTTGCTTAAATAGGCCATGCGCGCTTCGCCCTTGTTGGTGGGACAAATGCATGAACCCAGAAACTCGGTATGTTCCTACAGTATTTTATGAAGGGGCGCAGGCGGTGGGACCATATAGTCACTTATAAACAAAAATGCATGTGTATATACATATGTATACATATAATGTATATATATATATATGTGTGTGTATATATATGTATGTGTGTGTGTGTGTGTCTGTGTGTGTGTGTGCGTGCGTTGTTGAGTTGTCCATGGCATTGGGGAAGCTACACCGCGCCAAACAATAACGACGGCAGCAGCAAGGATCATCAGCCAACAAGGACCCCGAGGAAAAAGGAGCACACCCAAGATTTGCCAAAGAGTTGTCTGTATACTGAATCTATATACATACATACATATATATATATATATGTACACATGTGTGTATCTGTGTGTGTGGTTGTTCATCTGCATGAGGATGTAGAACCCGAGCTATCTTTCAGAGAAATTGAAGCCCTTGAATGTCCGCGACTTACGTGCGGAAGGCCATTACCAAACCCATCTGCGCCGGGGGGCAAGGCATCGCCGTCCGCCGCGTCGCCCTGAAGCACCAGGTGCCTGTTGGTGATGCGGCGGTCCAGCGCCAACACCGCCGTGGCATGGTGCTGGGCCGCCACAATGCCGCACATGACCTCACTCGTCGAAAGTTGAGGACCACATCCAAATTGATCTTCTTTCGGATTGTGGTCTTCTTTCGGCGCTTCGGGGCAAGCATGTTTAAGCATTTGGGAGGCATGTGGGGCCCAGTAAGTGAAGCGGAACCAGCATGGATCTCTCGATGCTTGTCCAAAAAGTGCATCGAGACAAACGGAGCTTCGTGACAAGACGCGCCCAGAACACCAGGGCAACTTAGAAACTTTGGTTAAACGTGGTTGCAGGTGCCTCACGTTCTACAATCAGCATCCCTGAAAAAAAATGACAGCTTCCAGTCACGCCCACCAGCCACATGGACAACTGAGGCTTCAACTCCCCTTTCAGGCAATCGATGACCAAGGCGGGCTTTGGAGCCGTTATCTTGACTCATTCTCTGCCCTTCAGTCTTCAAACTAAAAGTCTGGCATCAAGCATCTTACCTGCTGTTCGCCAGCAATGTTTCTTCGTGGCTCCATGTTTAGCACAGAGCCAACCTGCCCACTGCTTAGCAACACCGGGGAAATGAAATGTCAACATGACTCCCCTGGCTTCTCACCTCCTTTTCAAGATAGGCACCATGCGACCTGGGTCTCGCCCCACTCCGTCGTTTCCGCTCGCGGAATCCGCCCGAACGTCGTGCTTGGGCCCCCCGGCCGCATGCCGCGTGTCGTCGCCACAGGCGCCAGCCCCGTCACCGCAGCGGACCGAGAGCTCGGTGAGGCCCCGGCGCAGGCAGCAGGGCACCACCAGCCAGGCCGCGCGCATCTGCCGCGCACGGGCCAGAACCTGAGGCCAGAGCTGTCCGCGTCGGCTGAAAGCCCTCGGCCAAGTGGGCCGACCCTTTCGCACCAAGGCCCTCGGGAGGGCGTCCATTTCAAACCGGCTCGATATGTCTTCAACGAGTCTGTCTGCCTCCATGTTCAGCTCATTGCACCCGTGCACGCAAATGAAAGCCGCTGGGCCCGTCGAGTCGAAGTCGGCAAATCTCGACTCCACAAAGGACCTGACACTGACGGCTGGAGCCTTTCATAGCCCAGTGAAAGGTGCGTGTCAGAATCAGGAGCCAACACGTGTTACAGGATTGCGGCGGTTAACCTTGGGCGATCTTTCGTGAGCAGGCCCTAGGGTGAGGAGAGCCATTTGGTGACCAGGGCCCTTTTTGCGAAGCCCATCCCAACTCCGGTCCTGTTGGCCTGCAGCAGGTCCCACAAAACAATTACATCTCCCACAGGGTCGCGTTTTGCATGGCTCAGGGCTCGGGCCCGAATGTCGGCCCAAAACGTGAGGTTAGGGACATGAGGAGGTTGGGGTCGTGATTTGTCTTCTCGGTTTCTAGGCATATCCGAGAAAAAAATAAGGCTTCACAAAATTACGGCCTTGGTTCAGCACCAGGCCAGGGCTCTTGACATGCTTGAAGCACAAAGGCAGCGACACAAGCCCTCCCAGGCGAGGCGCAGGTTGGCTAGGCAGCTCTCGTGCTCGCCCACCGCCTCGCCAAAGCGATTCACCACATCCACAAAGTGCGCAAAGCCCTCCCTCTTCTCCTTGGGAGGCACGGCTTACATAGTTCGACGATCTGTGACGTTCTTGAGAAGAGTTGTTTTGGGGCCTGTGGTGATTAAATTTGTTGAATGACTGAGACTTGAGGCTCCTGAACGGTACTTTTGTGTCCTTCCACTTCCTGTCTAACGGGAATACAACGAATACGACAGATACGCTCCCGTGGAACTTGAGGACTTGAGGACTTGACGATCGGAACCAGCTCGCAACATGCCGCTTCCCTTCGACCCACGCAAGCACTCCCATGCCAGGTCCCAAGCATTCCCAAGCCCCAAGTCAAAGGACCCACTCGGGGCCACCGACAGAGCCAGGCAGGGAACCAAGGCCGGCCAAGCGTCCATGTCCACCGCAACGACCTGTGGCAATGAATGACTCAGCGGCTCGAAAACGGACTGAAAGCGTCCAAGGTGTCCGAGCAAAAATTGGCCAGTTGATGAGAATCCTGGTCTACCATGTGGTGCTCGCCGGCCTCAAAACGCCTGAAAAACAAAGGATCCACGGTGACAAAGGGAACTTGTCCAAATGCGCTTCAGTCCAAACAACCCTGGCAGGCCAGGGCTTCCACTGCTTCGTTCGTGCTTTGCACTTCGCCCGCCTGCAGCTGCGGGAAGCGATAGGCCAACAGCACGGCAAGCAGTCCGTGGCCGCTGGCAACCTCATAGAGCGTGGCCACCGGGCTTGTCCCGCTGTGGGCGCGGGAGGCGTTGCAGGCCTGGAGGTGCGACACCGCCTCACGCGCAAGGCTTTAGGATGGGGCCGCAAATTGGCGTCATAGCTAGGCGCCGGCTAAGAGAGGGCTGAGACATTTGAATTGGCGACGGGCTCCTTGCTTGTGATTGCTCATGCCAAGTGTCATTTGTCGAGCATTTGCAAACCTGCCCAGTACTTGGGCATGAGCTAGGCTGGGCTCATGCCCACGCTCCGCTGGCAGTTTGGCCCAAACCACGCAACCAACATGACTGAAGGCTTTAGCCATGCACTTGCAAGAAAGCACAATGATGACAAGGAAATGACGGAAATGAGAGAATAACCTGTTGATCTTTGTATGCAAGGTAACCTCGCTCGGAGGAAACAAAATGCTGGAAATCCACCGGTTGCAACTGGAGGTAGTGAGTCCCCTATCAGGCGCGGCATGGGTCCGATGGCCCCTGCCCATCCCAATGCCCCCTTCCAAACTTCCCCTTAGCCCGGGCTGCTACCACCGACTACAACTTCGACCCCACAACCACCACCACCACCACCACCACCACCACCACCACGACTACCACGACTACCACGAGCCGCCGCCTTCTTCCAGACCTCCACGGTCTCAAAGACCTCCTTCACACGTAGATGCCGCCCGAACTCCGCCAGCAGCACCTCGAAGGCCGACAGCAGCGGCGTCTCCTCGCGGAAGCTCAGCGCCAGGTACTGCCTCAGCAGCTCCTGCTGGACGAAACGGGAAATGCGGGCGTACATCACATATATATATATATATATATATGTGTATATATATCTATCTATCTATCTATCTATCTACCTACCTATCTATCTATCTATCTATCTATCTATCTATCTATCTATCTATCTATCTGTCTGTCACACCTAACATACATAGATGTATATATATATATATACATGTGTGTGTGTGCATATCTGACACATGCAGATATATCTATATATGTATATACAC